TACATAATTCCTTACAAAGTGTCTGTACTTGCCTTTCATAACAATGTTAATAACTAGTGGTACTCTGGCTTCCATTTGAAACCTCACTTGACATTCTCTGAACCAGAATATACAGCTCATATTCAGGACAGTTCAGTAAATGCCCTTGTCAGTTGGGATTAATAAGTTCTTGGGTCACAATTGCATAAAAAATTCACATTTCTCAAAGAGAACAAATGTATTTATATCAGCAGCTCCCAAAACCCAGGCTGTAGAGCAGGGGTGGGGAATCTAAGGCCTGGGGGCTGGATGCGGCCCCTGGCTTGCCTGGCTCCCCCCAGAATTGGGGATCCCGCGTTGGCACTCCAACCCCCCACTTGTCCCCCTCTGGGGCTGGAGAACACATCTAAAAGCCTGGGCTCCACTAGGCTCTGCTGTGTGAGGGGAATGTGGGGAGTGCCTTTCTCCTTCTTAGTCAGAGCCCATGTCAGTGAGGTGGGTATTTTTGCTTCTCACTTGTGTGCAGCCCCTGACTATTTTTTCTGTGGGTCAGTGGCCCTCATCCAAAAAAAGGTCCCCACCCCTGCTGTAGAGCACTGGTATTCATGTGAGTGCTATCTCATAATCTGCAGAAAGCTGGCTTGTGGACAGGCCTCGCTCTTCCTTGTTCCCAGGTGTTAAATCAAATTAAACTTTTGTGCTGGTTGAAATCTTTTGCTTATGTGGAAAATGTTAACAATAAAGGAAAAATCTTTCAATCTTCCATTCATAATTTTTATTTTTTTCCTGGAAAATTGAAAACCAAAATATTTGGTTTAGAAATCCTGCTGCCTCAGGAGAGTTGTGTAGTTCAGGTGCCTAACACTCCCATTCTCATCTATTGGCTGGACTTCCTGATCAGACAACATCTGCCATGTTGGATCATCATGTCCCTTCTTAATGAGGTGATGTGGTTTTTCATGGGAGTCCCTGGCCATGATGCATTACAATATGGGTGTGTCTAAACTACACGGCTCCGTTGATGGTCTGGACGCTCCCGTGCCGTCCTGAAAGCCCTTTATCGACCTCCCCGTTATGCCTCGTAGGATGAGGTTTACCGGGGAGGTTGATAAAGGGCTTTCATGTCAGCAGGGAAGTGTTTAGACTGCCTGATCTGCCGACAAACAGCTGATCGGCAGAGCGCTGCAGCCATTTAAATTTAAATGAGCCGCGATTATTTAAATCGCGGCTTCATTTCCCTTTGCCGAACAAACAAATCTACATGGCTCCGTCAATGGAGCCATGTAGTCTAGACGTACCCTATGAGATTTAGTCCAGCTGGAGAGTCTGCCTCATAGAGGAGAATGGGTCTCTGAAGCAAGTAACACTCTAACTACTATAAAGTACCATGTCAACAGTTCCAGAACTAAATATTTCAGGTTTTGGGTGAAATATTTTGATTTTGGGGTGTTTAATTTTTCAGCGAAAAATTTTTTTTTCAGCAGAAAAGGGACACGTTTTGGAGATAAGTTTTGTTTAATCAAATACTGAATTTTCTGTCAAAAACTGGATTTTTTCATCCAGCCTTCTTTGGATTATTTTATAGACTTTCCAATATTGTTTTTTTTTTTTTAAACTATTGTTGATGTGCCAGAGAGATGAGATAGCTGCGAGATGGGTCCATGCAATCACGAATGGGAAGGGAGCGTCTCAATGCAACAACCCTTCCATTAAGTTGTGCTCTATGCTATGCAAAAGATCAAGAATTCCCTGATCTGTACTATTGATTTTAGTCTGCCGTATTATAAACATCCACTGGTGGCACAAGGAGTGAAGCAAATGTGGCTGTCTGGAAGGTAGAAGTTATTTTAAAGTTTCAGTCATATGACTCTGGTTATGTGAAGTCAGAGGCATAATGTAAGAGGAAATGGATCTGTAGTAGCAACAGCCTGGACAAGTATTGTGTGTCTGTTCCAGGGGTGGGGAACCTCAGGCCCAGGAGCTGCATGTAGCCCACAGCTTGCCTGGATCCTGTCCCTGAGGCTCAGGCCCCACGCCCTTGCATTGGGGAGCATACGCTGGTGCTCCAGGCTCCTCTCTCCTCCTCCTGCTGCCCCACCACAGAGTTGGAACACTCAGAATCTACTACGCAGAGCCCCCCTAGGCTGTGGTGTGGGAGGGGAATGTGGGGAGCGTCTTTCTTCTCAGATGGATGCCACATCAGTGAAGATTTTTGTTGTTTTGTTTTGCTTCTCATTTGTGTGTGGCCCCCGGCTGATTTTTCTGTGGATCAGTGGATCGTGACCCAAAAAAGGTTCACAACACCTAGTCTAGTCCCACAGACCCATGGGTACAATGCATGTGCATACACAAACAAGTGTACAGCTCGATTTAGGGGTGCTGCATATCATTCACTGACTTGGAAGAAATGTTTACTATCATAGAATTTGTATTAGACTAGTACAGTAATTCTGATATCAGTGGACTTGTGAGTGTGCTTCTGATGAGCACTCTCTTCGTCTAGAAAACTTGGTTGGGTGGAACTGTGAAACTGGTGACATAACTGAGCATCTGTCAATGTGCTGTTTCCTGTACTCTTAGAACAATGAGGAAAGTGAGGGGAAATTCAAATAAACTTTTTGTGACATAGAAAGAAGAGGAAGCCCTGAAACAATATACAGGACGCCATCGAGAATGGAACTACAACTTCCCACAGTGTTCAGGGGCAAAAAGTACTGGAGGACACAGTTAATACTAGACTCTTAAAAAGTTGGCCAGCAGCTGCATCATCTTAGGCTGTGAGCTTACACCATACGTTAGAAATAAGTCATGTTAGGTCTGTCAGTACTTAGATGGGAGACCTCAAAGGAAAAGCTAGGATGGTGCAGGAAATGGAGTTGATGATATAATAGGAAGTCACTCTTCCCTTTGATAGAGTGAACTCACTGTCCTTATGAGACCTTTTACTGCTGCAGGTGTTGTGTTTGGCAGAGAAGTGAAACCAAGTACCAGATCACTAAGTAGCTATTAAAGGTTCCCCCGGAGTAGGAATGTTAGATCTGGTGTCTCGGCCAAATTCCAGCTAATGTAATTTTAGGCTGCCTGAAGATGTGTTTTAATAAAAGTTCACTTCTTGTCCTAATGTATTGGGTAGTTGTTATGTGTACTTAAATGCCTGTCACTTTCAATGTTTATTGGTACTGTAGGTAAAGTTGTTTGTAAATCATTTTGGGATTACTGAGGATGAATGGGGCTAAACGACATGTAAAAGCATGAGTATTTAGTGTTAGATATTTTCTGCCGCTGGGGGAAGGTGTGTGTCCCGCTAGTGCTTGAATAGTCCATCACATAATTATCAAACTCCAGCTAGGGTTGGGTATGGCTTTGAGACCTAGTTAGACACCCCAGACCTATGTAGCTGCATGTGCACATGCACACCACAACAGGAAGAAACCAAATCCTAATGGAAACTATATTTCTGGGAAATTGGAAGGGGAAGGGGAGGACAGTAAAAGAAGCAATTTATATTATTATTGCCATCTAAATAATGAAATGAGTTGGAAACTGTTTTTCAATTATTTATTTGCCATGAAACAAAGACCACTCAAGTTTAATACTGAAAGGGCAAAGCTGTGACCAGTGTGGTCTCTTCTAGCTAATCTTCCTGTGCTCTCAGGGTTGAATTGCATGTTGCTGTAGGTCCAGGAGTTATTTGTGGGATATTGCTTTGCTAGAGCGATGTTATAAATCACACAATATGTCTGTAGCCATACAAAGAAAAACACTTTTGTTCACACACAATCCACCAAGGCCATTTTAATGAACACAGAGATATGCACAAACAGTACTCGTGTATGTGGATGGGTACTCACACAAGTGGATATGTGCACACATTTATACACACCATTACTTACATGGTCTGGATATGCTGGACTGATGTTTGAGATCACATACAGTAAGCTCATCATTCACGCCTCTCACTCCAAACATTCTCAATAAAGCTAGTTTTGGGTCTTTATTTACAGTGTCTCATATCCATATATGTGCTGATACAAAACAGCTTCATATTCATTTAATTGAATCAGCATCTCATCAGAGTCATTACTCATTTGTGGCAATCATTCTTGATGTGAGACATTCTCATTGACAGCTGCATTTGGTTTTTTTTTAAATCGTATTTCAAGAACACGGGAGAGACAGAAAATAAGGACAAAGATTCAAACTTTGCTACTCTGGCTAGGCTTTTCTTTCCCCAAGAGTTTCATCAGCGCTTCCGACATTTAAATCCTCTTCTTTAGGTAAATTTTTCATCCCTGCACTGAGATTCAGAAGTTTCTTGTGTTTAACTAGTTCTGAATGTGGTCCTGGAATTGTATCTAGACCTAAGCCTTTTTCCTGCTAATGTAAAGCTAGCTTCCAGGTCCTCTCTCCTATGTCTATCATAGTTACTAATATGGCCCTCACTACCACAGTGTGTTATCACTTCACACACAATATGTAAAGTACTGAGTGGCTGGGGGGTGGAGAGGGTACTATTATCCCTATGTTACAGTTAGGAAACTGATACCCAGAGGGACTAAGTGACTCGCCCGAGGTCACAGAAGAAATCTGGACTGGAGCAAAGTCTCTTAAGTGCTAGGCTCATGCCCATAAAACTGGACCACCCTTTTCCTCTACACAGCACTCTGTTGTGCGTACCAATATTGATCCCAACTGCAGACTCCCACACAGCACTCACTATTGCTGTCTCATGAGACACCTGGGGTGTGTCTAGACTACAGGGTTTTGTCTACACAAGTGGACTTTTGTCGACAAAAGTGGACTTTTGTTAACAAAACTATACCTGCGTCTACACTGCTGCTGAGTTCTGTCGACAGAATGTCGACAGAACTCAGCAGTTTTGTCAACGGCAGTAAACCTTATTCTATGAGGAATAATGCCTTTTGTCAACAGAGTTCTGTCGACAGAAGGCGTTATTGCATCTACACTGTCCTTTGCGTCTACACTGTCATGTCGACAAAGCGGCTTGCTTTGTCGACAGAACTGGATGTAGTCTAGACGCTCTTTGTCGACAGAAGCTTTGTCGACAGTATCTGTCGACAAAACTTCTGTCGACAAAAGCCTGTAGCCTAGACGTACCCCTGGTGTCACCATCACACTTGGTATGCAGAAAATCACGTGAGCATTTCCACTGGTACCCCAAGAGACCTAACTATTGACATCTCTAATTGACTCCCATGCCACCTCTCACAACTGGACTCTCCTCTTAGCATACGGAATTATCGCTTTCCTCTATGTGTTTCAAGAGGAGAGCTCTCCTCTTCCCCCTTTTCCCTTCCCATCCTTTTCTCCCTCCCATCCTGAGAGCTGTACTTGATTTCCTTCAATCTACAATGTTTTGTATCTGTTTGAATTCAGACAATGCTCTCCCCTTTGGACAAGGTGTTGCACAGGCTGGTGAGAGAATAGGAGACTTTCCATCAGACACCAGCATTGACTTGCTTTGCCCTGTGGAATGCGTCCCTCTGGATACAGCCATTGCTTTTGCTATGTGCTTAAACATTTGTTCTTCTTCAAATACATTTTTAAAAGTTTAAAATAACTCTATACAAATAAATAGGAAAAATGTCACAATTTCCACTATACCCCACAGCACTTGGTAAGGAAAACACCCCTTTAAAAAGGACAGAGTACTTTTAGGCTTGGGACATATTTCTTGCTGACATGTTCTGTGTGCTGTACTGCCATCTAGTGAATTTAGTTTGTCCCACGTCTGACTGCATCAGTAGGACATTTGTGGGTGCTATATGTTACGATAGATCTCATTTTGCCTCTCTGAGAAGAATTCATAGGTTATTTACCATGAGGGAGCAAAATCAGTCAAGAAGTCTTTTGGTCTAACACCAGACCCATCCCTCTCTAAATCAGGATGGGAGTCAGAGAAATTTGGGCAGAAGCCTTTAATCCAACATCTATCCTATTGGTTTTCCATTAAATGCAGGCTCTGGAGTCATTCCTGTTATTTAGCTTACAGGCTACATCTCCATCATAACCTCTACATTTAGTCCAGTGCTGCAGGGAGGTAAAAGCATAAGCTCCCTTTTAGGAACATATTGAAATAAAAACCTTGTAACTTTTTCTCACCTGCAGGGATGGGTTCCACAAATGCTTATAAAAATAACAATAGTGATAAACATAGTGAATAAATACAGTATCTCTGACCACACTGTTAGTTTTGGTGCAAAGTGCTGTTTCAGCTGGAGGATCTCTGGGGCATGACAATGATCTTAGAACCTGAGTTGGAGTTTGTTGTGTTGGAAGACAGTTCTGCTCTGGACTCCAAGAGTTCACAGACTTCATCCATTGCTCTGGTACAGGATTCAAGGTTTTCAGCCAGCTTCTGGATTTTTGCCTTCAGCACAGCTTGACTCACCTTTGTGACCTCCCTTGTGTACTCCGGCACAAGGAAGTTGCGTGAACCATAGAATACCATGAAGCAGAGGGAATTGTACAGTGAGATGGAAGCATTTTTTTCTGATTGGAGCAACATGGGGTCCATTGGGCCCTGTCCACGGTGGAGGAATTCCAGACAACTCAGGATTTCCCTTATCTGGTTCTGACAGTTCACGGTGATCTCCTGCACCCTTCTCAGTTCCCTGGAGTTAAAGAGCACTAAGGAGAGATCGGAAGTGACACTGACAGCCCCTCCGGCAGAGGCTACACCCAGCCCCACAGCAGAAGCTAAGAGAGATGCCCCTAAAGTGGCAGGGCTCAAGGAGAGTCCCACAATGGCTGTGATTGCTCCCACTGCACTTAGAGAGCTCCCAGTGATATTTGCAATCAGCGATCGTCTGCGTAGCTTGTTGATGTTACGTGCAATCTCACGAAGATTCCTGATCTGGTCATGCAGTCTACTTCTCTGATTCAGCAGCAACATTTGGAAGTGGCGAGTAGGGTCGAGTGTTGGAGGAAAGGTTAGTGCGTTTCTCTCCATGGCCCTATTGGGAAATACAACAAGAGGGGTTTTCTCAAAACCAGTCGCATACTCAGCCAGTCAGTCTTAGGAGTTTTATTTGAGGATTGGCTCAAGGCCTTGGATGCTATTTCAAGGGAGGGCAGGTACCAGAGAGGTGAATCTCAGGCATCACACCTACCCTACAGTGTAGATAAACCCTTAGAAGTTATCTTCTTTCTAATACAACTTTATGTCAAAAGAAAGACAGCCACTGGCATGCTAAAGGATGAAAGATTTCTGAGGCAGGGCTCCTAACTCACCCCAACTCTAGACACAGGCAACCAAATCAACTCATTCACACTTTTCTCAACCACCATTCCTGTCTCCTAAACTGCTACAGATAAGCACTGAGCTAAACATTTGCACAGAACGTAATCAAAATCGTAAGCACATTACAAGTGAATAATAAATAACTGATAACGATCATAATAATTAAGCAATCACTTCTGGTAGCCCCTTAATCATTAGTGCTACTGATTTTCTTCTGGAGAAAATGAATATTTTTCTGAAAAGAAAACTGCAGTAACACAGATATAACTAGTAAAATAATAATTTAAATATGCCCCTCCCTAATTCCCAGATTTACACAGAGAACAGAATTCCCCCTTTCCTCCCACACAAGTTTTTAAAGGTAATTAATTAATTAATTAATAATAGGGAAAAGTGGCTGAAACAGAGCAGAAGTGTCCAGAAACACTTTTTTTTAAATCAAGAGTGCTAAAGGGGTTCAGAGGAATAATATCTCCAACTTACCTTTTGTTTCCAGACAATTTCACCAAAGACAAATGTTCTGCTGTTTTTGGATGAGCCTGATTTATAGTTCCCACGAACCAATTGCTGCAGTGGGAATGCTTTGCCTCATAGTGGGAGTTTGTCGTTTCCTGCCCCCCTTGTCAAGAAGGATGTGACACACTGGAAAGTGACCTGGGGACAGCACAGCACCAAGCGTATTCAGGAAACGATCCCATCAAATGAACATTGTGTGTTCGCTTTTCCTGAAGTGCAGAAAAAAAAAATCAGACTATTCCTGGCTTTGAATGAGAGCAGTCATCCTCCTAGGGGAATCACTGCCCTTCCTCCCCTTTAAATAGCTAGTGACTCTATCTAGTTCCACACTGAATGGGATGACTGCTAGGCAGGCAGTTTGCTGGATAAGTGAACCCTCATGTTTGTAACAAATAAGGAATAAATAAAATACACTTTCAGCCAATCAGTTTATTTGCTAAGTCTAGTGTACTTTTAAAAATGAACTCTTATGGAGATCCTAGTCCCTGACTGACTAGAGCGCACACACGTAACCAGTTGCCTACACCAGAGAAGCTGTCCTCAGTGGCAAGCAATCATTATAGTAACACCAGTGTCAATTCTTGAGTAGAGACAGGATCATTCAGTAAAGTTTGTTGAGATTGAGCTAATAGAATTTTATCCCTTATCTCAACTGTGCTCTGTTTACAGGCCATACCCATCGTGTTGCATTGAATTGGGGCTGTACATGCCTCCATGGAGGGATTGTGTTTATATTTCCTTTCGTTAGGCATCTAGCATAGTTCAAATAACTTGAGACAAGAAAGGGTGCATTTTCTGGATGAATTAGTAATGAGAAATTAGTCCGGTTCTAATGAACTCTCTGGCCAGCCTTTAGACAAGCAAAGTTGGCAAAGTCCATGGTGAACTGACATGACTGAACAAGCATGACTGGCAACACATTATTTTTGCCTATGAAGTAGGGATGTAAGAGTTTAACCATTTCTGTTAAAAGTTGAACTCCTGTAGACTCCTGGCTGAGTCCCACGAGGTCAGTGGCGCTGAGAGCATTTAAGTGTGTACCAGGGGCACCATTTCAGATTTTTTGGGGGGGGGGAGGGCGTCCTGGCTGAGTCCCACGAGGTCAGTGGCGCTGAGAGCATTTAAGTGTGTAACCAGGGGCACCATTTCAGATTTCTGGAGGGGGGGAGGGCAACCTGTGCATGCCATGATGTGTGTGTGGGAGGAAGAGAGCGAGAGCATGAGGAGAAAGGACTGAGGACAGAGGCTTCAGCAGAGTTACTGAGCATTCTCAATACAAGCCAAGCATCAAATGAGGGGGGGAGCAACCCCATCTGCTCCCCCACCCATATCATCTTTATACAGGGGTTACTAAGGGACTGGAAAACTCTACTTTTTTGGCTGACAATTTAGGAGTTATCTGACAGGAGCACTGTATCTAATTCCTATATAAAAGAAATACCCTCTCAGCTCTAACACTAACATATTCTGACATCTTGTGGCAAGCCACTAAAGAGACGCTGGTTAGCCTTAAAATATTATTAAATTTCTTACTTTGTTACTAACTCTGGAGAGAGAGAGACCCCATTAGGATTCCTGGGCTCTACCTCAGTTCTGGAAGAGGAGTGGAGTCTATTGGGTTACATCAGGGGGCAGATACATTTTAGCTCTATATAAGAACATTAGAAGGGCCATATTGGGTCAGACCAATGGTCCTGCTAGCCCTGTATCCTATTTTCCAAGGCTATTTCTACACTACAGAGTTTCTTCAGAAAAATGGCCGTTTTCCCGAAAAAACTTCACTTACGTCCACAATGCAATTGTGTTCTTTCACAAAAAATAAAAAAAAAATGAAAAAAAAATTGAAAGAACAGAGGGTTTTTTCTGACATTGGTTAACCTCTTTCTACAAGGAAGAAGCCTTTTTCCAAAAGAGCTCTTTTGGAAAAAGGCTTCTTCCTTGTAGAAAGAGGTTAACCAATGTCAGAAAAAACCCTCTGTTCTTTCAATTTTTTTTTCATTTTTTTTTTATTTTTTGTGAAAGAACACAATTGCATTGTGGACGTAAGTGAAGTTTTTTCGGGAAAACGGCCATTTTTCTGAAGAAACTCTGTAGTGTAGAAATAGCCTTGGAAAATAGGATACAGGGCTAGCAGGACCATTGGTCTGACCCAATATGGCCCTTCTAATGTTCTTATATAGAGCTAAAATGTATCTGCCCCCTGATGTAACCCAATAGACTCCACTCCTCTTCCAGAACTGAGGTAGAGCCCAGGAATCCTAATGGGGTCTCTCTCTCTCCAGAGTTAGTAACAAAGTAAGACATTTAATAATATTCAGCTTCTTGTGTTATGTTAGTGAAGGAATGAATAACATTCTCTTAATCTATTTTTCCACACCATTCATGATTTTCTAGACCTGTAACATATCCCCTTACCCTTTAGTCATTTCTTTTCCAAGCTGAAAAGTCCCAGTCTTGTTAATCTCTCCTCATATGGAAGCTGTTCCTTATCCCTAATCATTTCTGTTGCCCTTTCTGTACCTTTTCCAGATACAATATATCTTTTTTCAGATGGGGTGATCAGATCTGCAGACAGAATTCAAGATATGAACACTTTATATAGAGGCAATATGATATTTTGTCTTATCTATTCCTTTCCTAATGATTCCCAATACTGGGAGCATTTTAGTTTTTTAGACTGCCACTGTACATTGAACAGATGTTTTCAGGGAACTATCCACAAGGATGCCAAGATCTCTTTCTTGAGTGGTAATAGCTATTTCAGATCCCATCATTTTTGTAGCTGTAGTTAGAATTATATTTTCCCATGTGCATTACTTTGCACTTTTCAACACTGAATTCCATCTGCCTTTGTATTGCCCAATCATCCAGTTCTGTGAGATCCCTTCGTAACTCTTTGCAGTCAGCTTTGGATTAGTCACTGGTTACCCCTTTTTCAAGAACATTTATGAGAAGCTTAACAGCATTGGTCCAAATGCAGATCCCTGCAACACAACACTCATTACTACTCTCTCTCCCCCCCCATCTTTTAAGTGGAGTTCCTGGCAATGTTTTCTTTATGATCATTCAATTGTTTGAATCAACACTTGATAAGTAACTCCATTCTTTTGATATGTTATTATTAATCACCCTTCCTCCCTCTTTTTATAACAAAAAACCTGTGTCCCAGAGCAGTGGAAACTTCCTAGCCATTTCACTGCTTATCCATAAATTATGTTTGAATCTAGCTTGAGCTATTATATCACTCTGTAGCTTAATGAGGCTTTCTTGTAATGTAATGTCAACATCAATCACATTTACCCCAACTGGATCCACTACCCTCTCTGGAATTTTCATCTCCAGCAGTCACTGAACCAAACTTGCAAATCACTGTACAAATTCTTCAAATCTCAATGATGCAAATTTACAAGTTTTTCAATATCTGGCTGCAGCATTGTTAGTGACAAATGAAGGTCACTTCTATTCACAATATCAAGGCAGTTACGAGCTTTTGATAGTAGTTAAACCACCTGACTAAAGTCAGATTCAGCAAGATAAGAAGTGGGAAAAGCAATAAAATACAACTTTGCTTTGTCCCAGAGCAGTGGAAACTTCCTAGCCATTTCACTGCTTATCCATAAATTATGTTTGAATCTAGCTTGAGCTATTATATCACTCTGTAGCTTAATGAGGCTTTCTTGTAATGTAATGTCAACATCAATCACATTTACCCCAACTGGATCCACTACCCTCTCTGGAATTTTCATCTCCAGCAGTCACTGAACCAAACTTGCATATCACTGTACAAATTCTTCAAATGCTCAGCATACACAGAAAGCTCATCATCTTGCAGTTCGATGTCCATAGTGGCCAGTGATGGAAACTGCATCAACTTGCGACGTACAATATTAACCCAGAACAGCTTAAGTTTTCCAAGGAATGCAGTAATAACCTCTTTGCAAGATTTAAGATTACAGTTTTTTCCTTGTAACTGCTTGTTCAACAAATTCAGCTTTTCAAATACATCAGATAGGTAAAATATATCACACTTGGCAGCAACGATCTGCTCTTCTAGCTGCTTACCACTCAGAAATGACACAATACTGTCCCAAAGTGCAACAAAGCGATGAAGCCAATTACCTTTTGATAGCCATCGGACCTGTGTATGCATCAGTAGGCGCTCTAACTCTTCTTAATTTCCCTCACAAAGTTGTCGGAAAAGACGATCTTGAAGTGCATTTGATTTGATAAGGTTGACAGCCTTTATTACAATGGCAAGGGCATTATGCAGACGTCCTCCCAAATTTTTTGCAACCAAATGTTGATGGTGCACCACGCAGTGTATGCAAAAACCTTTAGACACAGCATTTTTTAAATTTTTAAGCAGACCTCAAATATGAAATCCATGGGTTCAAACTCAATAGGGGAGCTACTGCCCCCTAGTCCCATAAATGGCACCCTTGTATGTAACCAATGGAATTTTAATCGGTTACACGGTCACTATTTTGTAACTTTTTTACATCCCTACTATGAACACAGTAGCCTAGAGGAGACTATTTTCCTTAACCCAGCGAGGATAGTTACAGGTCTAGTAACCCCCTTATCCTAATGAACAGTGAAGCAATTTCAGCTGCTTTGTGCTTGATCTTGTTGGCAACATTTGTTGTTGTTTCGCACACACTGCAGTACATTCTCAAGCTCACGTCTAGTCTACATCACAAAAGTTTGTTGGCATAGCAAACTATGACTATGTAGGTTTAACCCTCCTCCCATAAGTGTAGTTTACACAAGCAAAACGCTTTTGCTCATATGGCTTATATCAGTTTGTCAAACTGTGGGACTGGGAGCAGGGAGAATAATGGCTGCTTCCACAGCTCATTGTGGCCTTGCTTAGGAAAAAAAGGGCATAATACTGTAAAATAGTTAACACCTCTGCTGTCCAGAGAGTAGGATCAGAGCTGCTCAGCCGTGTGCCACCAGTCCCGTCATGCAGATATCTAACAAATATTCATTTTTAGTTCTAGTAGTAAAGTCCTATACTTCTGGAACATGGGCATCTGAATTCTGTCATTGGTGCTGCTTTGGGGGGTCGATATGTGCAGCAAACTTCCAGCCATGAAGTTTAGAGAAGTCTATTGCTTTGTTATTTGAAAAAGGTTAAATCTTATGGGAGCAGAACATTTTAAATGATTGTGTTTTAAATTAGAAGGAATGAGGAGTCCCTGTGGCACCTTAAAAACCTCATTAACAGTGGTCCTACACTTGATAAGTAACTCCATTCTTTTGATATTCTAGTACAGTGTTTCTCAACCTTTTTTTGCTCATGGCCCCTTCTGAGCCTCATTTACCTCTGTGGCCCCCCTCATAGTTGCTGTTAGTTGGAAAAAGGTACATAATTTACCATATGCACTCTTTATTTATATTATACATATGCTAATAATCAGTACATTATTTCTAAGTAGCAAAGAAAATTCTTAAAGACATAAAATGTATAGTAGCAGCATAAGGCCTGCTAACAAAAATATTCTGATAATTGGCACTTTATTCAGTGTGATCCTTGTGGCTGATGCAAATTTACAAGTTTTTCAATATCTGGCTGCAGCATTGTTAGTGACAAAAGAAGGTCACTTCTATTCACAATATCAAGGCGGTTACGAGCTTTTGATAGTAGTTAAACCACCTGACTAAAGTCAGATTCAGCAAGATAAGAAGTGGGAAAAGCAATAAAATACAACTTTGCTTTGTCCCAGAGCAGTGGAAACTTCCTAGCCATTTCACTGCTTATCCATAAATTATGTTTGCCATGTTTGACTCTAGCTTGAGCTTTTATATCACTCTGTAGCTCAATGAGACTTTCTTGTAATGTAATGTCAGCATTAACCACATTTACCCCAAATGGATCCACCACCTAATCTGGAATGTGATAAAATACAACTTTGCTTTCTCCCAGAGCAGTGGAAACTTCCTAGCCATTTCACTGCTTATCCATAAATTATGTTTGCCATGTTTGAATCTAGTTTGAGCTGTTATATCACTCTGTAGCTCAATGAGGCTTTCTTGTAATGTAATGTCAGCATTAACCACATTTACCCCAAATGGATCCACCACTCAATCTGGAATGTTCATCTCTAGCAGGTCACTGAACCGAACTTGCATATCACTGTACAAATTCTTCAAATGCTCCACATACACAGAAAGATCATCATCTTGCAGTTTGATGTCCACAGTGGCCAGTGACGGAAACTGCATCAACTCATGACATCCAATATTAACCCAGAACAGCTTAAGTTTTCCAAGGAATGCAGTAATAACCTCTTTGCAAGATTTAAGATTACAGTTTTTTCCTTGTAACTGCTTGTTCAACAAATTCAGCTTTTCAAATACATCGGATAGGTAAAATATATCACACTTGGCAGCAACGATCTGTTCTCCAAACTGCTTACCACTCAGAAATGACACAATACTGTTCCAAAGTGCAACAAAGCGACAAAGACAATTACCTTTTGATAGCCATTGGACCTGTGTATGCATCAGTAGGCACTTAAACTCTTCTTCATTTTCCTCACAAAGTTGTCGGAAAAGACGATCTTGAAGTGCATTTGATTTGATAAGGTTGACAGTCTTTATTACAATTGCAAGGGCATTATGCAGACGTCCTCCCAAATTTTTTGCAACCAAATGTTGATGGTGCACCACGCAGTGTATGCAAAAACCTTTAGACACAGCATTTTTTAAATTAGCAATGAATCTTCTGTATCTACCTACCGTAGAAGCAGCACCATCAATTGCACAAGCAGTTATATTTTCAAGTAGAATATTGTTTTCTTAGAAATAAGTCTCAACTTGTTCAAAAATTGTTTCACCTTTGGTGTCTGTTGTAAGCTTTCGGGCAAAAAGCATTTCCTCACTGAGCTGATTATCATACAAAAACCTAACATATGTCATCAGAAGGACTTCATTATCATGTAGAGTGGATTCGTCAATTTTCAGGGCAAACTTCTTCACTTGCAATTGTGCAACTAGTTGTTTTTCCACATCATCTGCCATTTCATCAATGCGCATCGATACTGATGAGTTGCTCAAAGAGGTGACCTCAGTAATTTCATGTGCACTCTGATTCATGACAGTTGAAATCACAACAGACACTTCAGGCAAAATCAAAGATTCACCAATATTATGTGGCTTGCCAGCTTTTGCAATTAACTTGGAAATCTCATAGGATGCAAGCAAACCTTTGTCTACTTTGCCTGCTCTTTTACTAAACATTTGATTCACTGTTGTCCTTGCTAGGAAATCATCACACAGTTTTTTAAAGTAATCTACTGATTTGTCCTTCTTGTCCTTGTACTTTGTCTCCAAATGTTTCCGCAGCTTACCTGGCCGCATGCTTTCATTTGAAAGTGTAGTCATACATAATAGGCACATTGGCATCTTACTGTCCTGTGGTGATGGAATAAAACCGTGGGCAAGATACTCAATGGAATATTGCCGACATTTTTTCTTCGCCACACTAGCCATGGGTAATCTGAAATTAAAAAGAAAAAACGGATCAAGTATATTATACACCTTTTTCTCAAAAATGTCAAATATTTTTCAGTAACGGCTTTATTGTTACGTGTAGGGGAGGGTGCAATAGTGCGATAGTACTAGTGAGTGATTGATACTACAAAATTATCAGTAGTGACCAGAATAATTATACGATGAAAAAAGAACTGGTAAAATTATTTACTTTACTTACCTTAAAACAAACAATCTTCTCTCACTAGCAACAGAACTCAATCAGTGCCGAGTGCCGATCTAGTTACATCAGCCAATATACTGTAGTTACTTCTTTCACCACAGAAAGCATCACTTGACAAAACCACTACCAGCTGCAAAATATGATTTGTTTCACTGAGCCCCACCCTCCCCTACTAAAAAAAATTATGACGTTTTTGAGAAAAAGGTGTATAACAGTGGTCTCCAATGTTTTTAGGAAAGGGGAGTGAAGGAGTGTTATGATGCTGTGGCCAGATGGGGGCTTGGCCCCAGTTGGGGGTTTGTTGGCCAGGCTTCATTTTTAAATAAAATACTGTGTCAAACACAAAAAGTTTCTGCATTGTCTTTATTTCTGAGAAGGGCAGGGAACCTGTTTTGAGTCAGGGGTCACTGACCCACAGAAAAGTCAGTTGGGGCCACACAAGTGAGATGCAAAGAACCCTCCTCCACCTGCCCCCCCAAGCTTCACTAATGTAGCCCCAACTGTGTTAGTGGGAGCAGGGGACATAGCACTGGGGAAGGGTTCTAGTGGGTGCTTCGGCAGGGGACAGGGTGCCAGTGGGGACAGAGTTCTGTGGCTGGGGAGTGGGAACTGGGGACAGGGGGAAGAGGGAACAGGGTGGGCAGGGAACAGGGGGTGGAGGGGACGGGGAAATCCCGGGGCCAAGAACCCCTTCCACAGCACGGGGAAACCCCCATGCGTGCCTCCCCCAGGGCCAACTCCCTCCCCCCCCCGCGGCACAGGAAAACCCTGGGGCTGAAACTCCTGCGCTCCTCCTCCGGAATCGACTCACCTCTCCTGCAGCACAGGGAAGCCACCACGCTCCTCTTCCAGGGCCGACGGCCCCTCCCGCAGTGCGCTCGGCACGCCACAGGCATGAGGGAGGGGAGCAGCCAGCACACTACCAGAATCCCCGGAAGTGGCGCAAAGCTGCAGGACTTCCGTCCACCCCGCAGGAACCTGGTACTATCTTCATTGTTGCTGGAGGTAGGTAGTGGGTCTTCTCAGAGGTGGGGGGAAAATGGGGGAGGGTACAATTGTCTCGACTGGTCAAGGCCTCGCGATCAACCAGTAGATCGCGATTGATCGGTTAGTGACCACGGGTGTATAATATACTTGATCTGAAAAAATAAGATTACTAAACCACAAAAATAATGCTGCTGAAATTAGCACAGAGAATGAGATGTGAGGATTATGACAAATTCATCATACACCTGGCAGTTAAGTTTGGGTGGCTCCCTCATAAACTTACTGTGGCCCCCTAATGTTCCGTTTTTTCCATGTGGCCCCCGAGAACTAAGGTGTGGCCCCCTGAGGAGCCATATGGCCCACGCTGAGAACCACTGTACTAGTACATATATCTATCCCTGCCTCTGTAATTTCCACTCCAATGCATGTGATGAAGTAATTTTTACCCATGAAAGCTTATTTCCAAATAAATCTGTTAGGGTGAGTATAGATAGCAGCGTCTAGATAGAGTCTATCTATCTACTAGATAGATATTTCTGGTATCCCGAAATAGTGTTTTCTGCATCTTGACAATGCTCCTGTTATTTCAAAATAGCTTTTGAAATAATGGGCACGCTATTCCAACATCCCTGTAAACCTTGTTCTACGAGGATTAAGGGACATTTTGGAATAGCTCTCTATACAGCACCACATTTTGAAATAAGCTATTTTAAAATTAACTTGAAATAAGCTATGCAATTTGCATCAAATCAAGTGTAAAAATGTAATAAGAAAAGCAAAAAAAGATTTTGAGGAACAGCTAGCCAAAAACTCAAAAAGAAATAACAAAATGTTTTTTAAGTGCATTAGAAGCAGGAAGCCTGCTAAAAAACCTGTGGGTCCCCTAGATGACCGAACTATAAAAGGAGCAATCAAGAACGATAAAGCCATTGCAGAGAAACTAAATGATTTCTTTGCTTCAGTCTTCACGGCTGAGGACGTTGGGGAGATTCCCAAATCTGCACTGTCCTTTGTGGGTGATGAATCTGAGGAACTGTCCCGGATTGAAGTGTCGTTAGAGGAGGTTTTGGAACAAATAGAAAAACTTAATGTTAACAAATCTCCAGGACCGGATAGCATTCATCCAAGGGTTCCAAAAGAACTCAAATGGGAAATTGCTAACTATTATCTGTGGTTTGTAACCTATCCCTTAAATCGGCTTCTGTACCTAATGACTGGAAGGTAGCCAACATGACATCAATATTTAAAAAGGGCTCTAGAGGCGATCTGGGCAATTATAGACCGGTAAGTCTAACTTCAGTACCGGGCAAATTAGTCGAAACAATAGTAAAGAATAAAATTGTGAATCATGTAGAAGAACATAATTTGTTGGACAAAAGTCAACATGGTTTCTGTAAAGGGAAAACCTGTCTTACTAATCTATTTGGGTATGTCTACACTACCCTCCTAGTTCGAACTAGGAGGGTAATGTAGGCATACCGCACTTGCAAATGAAGCCCGGGATTTGAATTTCCCGGGCTTCATTTGCATAAACTGGGCGCCGCCATTTTTAAATCCCTGCTCGTTGGAACCCCGTGCCGCGCGGCTACACGGGGCCAGTGTGCAGCGGTGGTCAAAAAGGCAAATAGGATGCTAGGAATTATTAGGAAAGGGATAGAAAATAAGACCCAGAATATCTTACTGCCCCTGTATAAAACTATGGTATGCCCACATCTTGAATACTGTGTACAGATGTGGTCTCCTCACCTCAAAAAAGATATTTTGGCCTTGGAAAGGGTTCAGAAAAGGGCAACTAAAATGATTAGGGGTTTGGAACGGGTCCCATATGAGGAGAGGCTAAAGAGACTGGGACTTTTCAGTTTAGAAAAGAGGAGATTGAGGGGGGATATGATAGAGGTATATAAAATCATGAGTGGTGTGGAGAGGGCAGATAAAGAAAAGTTATTTATTAGTTCCCTAAATAGAAGAACTAGAGGACACCAAATGAAATTAATGGGTAGCAGGTTTAAAACGAATAAAAGAAAGTTCTTCTTCACACAGCATGTAATCAACCTGTGGAACTCCTTGCCAGAGGAGGCTGTGAAGGCTAGGACTATAATAGATTTTAAAGAGAAGCTAGATAATTTCATGGAGGTTAGGTCCATAAAAGGCTATTAGCCAGGGGATAAAATGGTGTCCTTGGCCTCTGTTTGTCAGAGGCGGGAGAGGGATGGCAGGAGACAAATTGCTTGATCATTGTCTTCGGTCCACCCCCTCTGGGGCACCTGGTGCTGGCCACTGTTGGCAGACAGGCTACTGGGCTAGATGGACCTTTGGTCTGACCCAGTATGGCTGTTCTTATGTTCTTATGCATAGTTCAAATTGTTTACCTTATTTTGAGCAAAGGGTGCAGTGTATACACATCCTTAGTCTTTAAGGTACCACAGAACTCTACCCTTAGGGGGAGCCGTGTTAGTCTGTATCTGCATAAAACAAACAAAAACCGAGTCCTGAGGCACCTTAGGGACTAACAAATTTATTTGGGCATAAGCTTTCATGGGTCAAAATCCACTTCATCAGGTGAATTGGAGTGGAAATTACAAAGGCAGGGTTGTTACTTATCAAGTGTAGGTCCATTGTTAAAGAGGCCAATTCAGTAAGGGTGGATGTGGCTCACTCAGGGTATGTCTACACTACAAAGTTAATTCGAACTAACAGACGTTAGTTCGAATTAACTTTGGTAGGCGCTACACATACAAACCGCTAGTTCGAACTTAATTCAAACTAGCGGTGCGCTTAATTCGAACTAGGTAAACCTCATTCTACGAGGACTAACGCCTAGTTCGAATTAAATAGTTCGAATTAAGGGCTGTGTAGCCACTTAATTCGAACTAGTGAGAGGCTAGCCCTCCCCAGCTTTCCCTGTCCCAGTCTATGATTTCAGCTGTGATTGCTATGAACGTAGTGGCCACCAGGTAACCTGTGCTTTTTCCTCTTTCCTCTTCTTTAAAAAGAACTCCCTCTTCCCCATCTACACACACCTTTTTGGCATATTGTATTTGGAAAAGGTACAGAAAGGGCAACAGAAATATTTAGGGATAAGGAACAGCTTCCATATGAGGAGAGATTAACAAGACTGGGACTTTTCAGCTTGCAAAAGAAATGACTAAAGGGTAAGGGGATATGTTACAGGTCTAGAAAATCATGAATGGTGTGGAAAAATAGATTAAGAGAATGTTATTCATTCCTTCACTAACATAACACAAGAAGCTGATCCAATGAAATTTATAGGCAGCAAATTTAAAACAAGCAAAATAGGCAACAGGGGATGGATCATGATAACTGCCTCTTCTGTTTATTATTTCTGAAGCACCGGGCATTGACCGCTGTGGGGCTACGTCTAGACTGCAGGCTTCTTTCAGAAGAAGCTTTTCCAGAAGAGATCTTCTAGAAAACTTCTTCTGAAAGACCGTGTCTGCACTGCCAAAGCACATCAAAGAAGCGATTTGCTTTCTCAAAAGATAGCACCCACACTGAATGAACACTATCTCGCATGTAAGCTGTGATTACTATGGACAGAGGGGCCACCAGAGCATCTGTGCTTTTTCCTCTTTCCTCTTCTTTCGAAAGAACTCCCTCTTCCCCATCCACACACACCTTTTCGGGAAAGAACTCTTTTGGAAAAAGGCTTCTTCCTTGTAGAAAGAGGTTTACAAATGTCAGAAACTCCTCTGTACTTTCGATTTTTTTTTTGTGAAAGAACACGATTGTAGTGTGGACGTAAGTGAAGTTTTTTTTGGGAAAACAGCCATTTTTCTGAAGAAACTCTATAGTGTAGACATAGCCTTATATGTCATAATCATCCAGGAACCCACCCCTGCAATCAGCCCTGGTGCTAACTCTGCCCACACATCTATACAAGCGATTTCATCACTGGACCCAACCACATCAGTCACTACCACATCATAATGACTTAACCAACCAACCAAGGGAGGTGCTAATTATTCTTATTAGCCTCTGGTAACTACTTCAACTATCTACTCACTATCTCTCCCCCCCCTTTTTTCTCTTCCTCCTTTTTTTCCCCTTATTTATTTTTGGATCTGGACTTCTAATACTCCAGTGATCTGAAGAAGTGGGTTGTGCCCATGAAAGCTCATGACACCATCTACATGTTTTGTTAGTCTATAAGGTGCTAACTTTTTGTTGTTTTTTTAAGTTTTTCCTGTTACAGACTAACTCGGCTACCCCTCTGAAAGATATGTAGACAGAGAGACTAAATTAGAAGCTCCACTTGATGGCAGCATTGCACAACAAATGCTAAAAGAATCCCTGAGTTAAAGAGGATTGCGGAATGGCTTTAATATTCTGTCACTTGTCTACAGGTTGCTTCAGATCAGGATTCAGATAAAGCTGCAGAACTGGAGGTAGAAGCAACAGGTAAACTTCACACTATAGCATGTTTACATCTGACCTCTAGGACTGTATTTGAAGCCCATATTCTCTCCTCCTCTCACAAGATGGCTGCCAGTCTAGTTACTGTGTTGGTTGTAGTGTGACATGATTTAACCCCTTGCTTGGAACCATCATATCCTACCAACTTCATTAAAATGCCATTCTGCCCTGAGAATACATGTATGAACATAACCCTTACTCAAGAGATCTGCCCCTTTATACATTGAATTGTTACTTTAATGACTAAATTTGTGTTTCTTTAACAGATTTTTACTCCTTAACCACCAAGTTCTGTTGATCCCACATGTCACTGAGGGATTGCTATGAGGTAATAAATATGAATAATTGGGCTCATTTTCTGGCTGAACTTTTATTGCTGGTGATGTGAAAGAAACGAAGAGTCCAGCTTGATTCTCAGATCCCAGGCTGAGTTTGAAGGTTTGGAAATTTGGTGTGGAGAAGGGGTAGTGTTTTTACTTGTAAATTAATCCATTTTTCTCTGGAAATGACACCTGAAAGCCCATGTTGTCAGCTGCACAGTAACTCAGAATACAAGTACATTTTAAGGTTGTGGTCAGTAGTGTTTTGCAGGGGATATGCTGGAAAGGTGTGCTAAAGGCCAGTGTGATGAGTGCTAATCTCTAAGGGTATGTCTACACTACCCTCCTAGTTCGAACTAGGAGGGTAATGTAGGCATACCGCACTTGCAAATGAAGCCCGGGATTTGAATTTCCCGGGCTTCATTTGCATAAGCGGGGCGCCGCCATTTTTAAAACCCCGCTCGTTCGAACCCCGTGCAGCACGGCTACACGGGACACGAACTAGGTAGTTCGAATAGGCTTCCTAGTTTGAACTATCGTTACTCCTCATTCCACGAGGAGTAACGGTAGGTTCGACCTGGAAAC